AAAATTAAAAAAATTTTTTTTTTATATAAAATCTTATATTAAAATTTATATTACGGTTAATTAACGGTTAATTAACCAAATCTTAATTAACCGTTAATTTCCCATCCCTAGAACCGATATGAAGTGAATTTTGTTTGTTTGTTTGTTAGAAGTATTAGAAGTATAGGTAAGTAGAAGTAGCACAAGAAGCAGCAAAAGTTGCATGACATAATTTGCATTTATTTGATTTTTAAAACATTATTTTCATCACGACTTTTTTTGATTGTAAATTCAAAATTTGTTACACTTGAAGTAGTATATAGTTAAAACGCGTAAATGTAACACGTAAAAACACGTCTATCAATAAAAAGGTTAAGGGCGATCGATAAGACGATTAAGCCATCTTTTATAAGACCGTTAAAAAGCGACCAATCCTTCCTGTCGATCCGTCCAAAAAAGATTCGAAAATTTTAAACTACGATTGACAAAACTATATAAATAATTGATCCGTTGCACAAATTCGCGCCTTCACTTCTCTTCAAATATATGGAACCAATCATAACAGAGGAAACAAGAACTTACAAGGGTTTAGCCTTTGTTGTTTGGTTGTTAGTCTAGTATTATTATAATATTTTTTTTTTCAAGCTTGTATAGGTGGCTTCAAGATTTATCAAAACCAACGGAAGAGGAGTATCAATGGACAAGAGCTTTAATAACGGTTTTATTGTTCATTTCAAGTGTCGTTTTGCACAGAAAATTTTTTTCTGTTCGGGTATTTTTTTTTAATAATGCAAATATTGATTTTATACTCAATAAAACGTTTTACATAGATATCAAGGAATTGTGACCCCATATGGAACATCAGGGATTATAGTGACACCTCCCGGATTTCGCCCAATTTTAGTGAACACAGTATGGAACGTTTTAGGTCTTCTGTGGAGATACCATATCAGACGGAGAAAAAATGTCGCGAGCTTATCTTGCCAACAAGCTAAGACTCCTAAAAAAAAAAATAATGATGATGATGGAAATGAACTCGCCAGGTCGCCCAAAGACGATAAATGTCATGTATTCGACTCAAAGAATGAAAATCGTGAAAAAATCACGAAAAACAAGAAAGGAAAGAAAAAAAAGAAAAAAGCAATTCCTGATAAGAAAGGTTGTGAATCAATACATGCTTGGGACGTCGGTTCGCTGTGGAACTCCAACAGATACGCTGACAAATATGATTATATACAACAACAAGCAGATAGCGAACTCGAGAGTAGAAAGAATACCAGCATTGCAATGGTGTCGTTCGAAAGTTGCCATAACAGAAAAAGAATCCAAACGTTTGAACCACCCTTGGGGGAACTGTGTCGAGTCGGTTCCTTAGTTGGTACTTCTGTAACTATATGGGAAACAGAAGAACCAACGACGCCATGTCATCTTGTGCTCCCGGACAATATCCTTACACGAGGAACTGGAAGTCAAGCGCCGTGCATAAGATGTCAGAAAGTAATAGACATGAATCATCATATGCACTTAAGAGTTCAATCATGGTAGTCGAAAAGATCAAGAATGAATGTGATCGTAATCGTATTGCAACTTCTGTTGAACGTGATTTATTGAGCAAAGAATCATATCATACTGAATATTTGAAAAGTATTAAAGAATTTGGCTTTAATCACATCATTATTGTCGGGGAACGTGACTTTAAAATGCTTTTTATTGACTGTTACGGCCGCATATTTGAGTGGGACTTTATTAACTTTTTATTATGGCCACTTGGGAATTATTTAGAGGATAAACCGCGGGTGGCATGGGGTGTAGAGTTCAACGGGACCATTACTGCATTTGAAGTTGGTACGTGTGTAGAGTAATTTGCTCTTTTTTTTTCCTTTAACTTTTTTATAACTAATTTCTTTTATCAGATAATGAATAACTATTGATTTGGTCGTCTCAGTGAAAATAGCATAATTCATAATTCGTTCTTTTTTACTTTATTTTTTATAACTTTTTGCGGATTTAGTATACACAAATTATATTTTCTGCATTATTTTATGAAGTGCATTTGTTAATCTATCTATTGTGATGTATTAAAAAATAATGTATCTAGCGTATATATAATAAAGCTTTACCCATATCGGTTAATAATAATAGTATGATGTGAACCTGTGCACCAAATAAAAAAATAAAAATAAAAACGATTAGCCGAAAGGCATTGAGTTGATAATCAATTTTCATTTTACACGGTTGCTTTACACGTTCCGGAATAATTAATTTTTATAGGTTTCCCAGCTAAAACATTGGGATCATGTGAAACTGATCACCTGAAATGCGCAGTGCGATATCAAAAATTTTTTACCTAAAGAATAGGGTTATGCGACATTAGATTTAAATATTTTTTTCTCGAAGCTTTCAATCATTGACAGGAGTCAAAAAAGAAGAACAGAACGTTACTTCACCTTCGGTCAAGAAAAAGGGATAACATTAGAGGTGGGTGTCAAATAAATAGTTCTTTTAATTCTAGCGATGATGAATTATAGGAGTCAATTGCAAAGCAATCATCGATATCAGCATAGTCCGATGATAAGGAATTATCTCAACGCCTTTCGTCTATATGAAGCTTGTACATTGTACTTGCTAGTCTGAGTCAATAAACATTAAGCTGGTTAGACGTTTCTGCCTTTTTCCAACCTTTTTTTATAGGGTACATAATTCGAAACAATTACTCCAGAATCACCTTACGTTATTGTAAAATTCAAAATTTGATTATTATACTGAGGGTTTTATCAATGAATGGTAATGAAATTTATATCTAAAGCCTTTGATAAAGAATTCGATTGAATTCCATATTTTTTATTTTCTAAAAATTGATGCAAAACTCTGTTCCTGTGTGAACTATCTGGATCACGGCAAATTTCTCACTTTTTATCTCGATTGATATATAATCTTTTCCAACATTTACTGAAACAAAAATTGGGTTGATGGCTTTATTTCTCATCATAAGACTTTCAGAAGATTACATAATGCAATAAAGTGAGTTTCTATTATATGTATTATATTGTAAAAATGAACATAATTATCTGTTAACTTTAATTGAAAACATAGATGAAACACTAATAGTGTTTAATTTACCAAGTAATAAACAATTGAACAATCTGGTACTAAAACTATTTCGATTATACAGCTTTTTCCAATTGTAAATTAATAATTTTCTGATTTAGATTTTGAATAGTTTGTTGCATTGCTTTTTTTTTCTTTCTCTATCAGCTGAATATTGGATATAATCAGACATAAATATTCAAATTTTACTATTATTTTAGCTTGTATAACTGATAGAACAAAACTTTTATCAGTTATTATTTTAAATTTAAAAATTTTAAGAGAATAATTTCTAGATAGTGTGATAATTTGTGTGATTTTAAAGGCTATATAAACAAAATTGAAATGACTTAGTGAATAAAAATGTTTAGATAAACATGCAGGTTAAGATAATAATCCAGGTTTCTTTTAGTATTTAATTCCTTTACTACATATAAAACTGATGCTTTAAAGCAATGATTCTGTAAAAAAATACTAATTTAACAGTTATTTCAAGCAGATTAACTTTTCATTTAAAATAATTGAATGTATCACTAAATAAGTCTTTTAAAGCAAAGGTAATTTATTTTAGTTTTTTAAATTATTTAAATAATTTAATTAAATTTAATAGGTCTAATCCTAAAAATTTATTTATATAATAAAATTTATATTTTAACTTTTAAAATTTATATACAAAATCTTTATAATAACTAGATAAGTGAAATTATTAAAGATTATACTTCATCTAAATAAATCAACAAATCATCTTACTTAGTTATTTACAAATTAGATAAAGGTAAGTTAGAATGCTATTGATATTAATATAATTTTGCAGTATTCAAGTGTTATAAAATTTCAAATATTATGAATGAAATAAGAAGTATTTTAATTTTTGATTTTAATTATTTAAAAAATAGAATAAATAGAAAAGATAATGAAAAAAAGTTAATCTAAAAGAGAAGTTGAAAAAGATGATAGTGAAAAAACAGTAATGAAGATAGTGATTATAATGAAAATAAAAGTAAATTAAAAAATAGTAATAAAATTGAATTAGAAAATAATAATGAAAGTGAATTAGAAGATAGTAATAAAAATGAATTAAAAAATAATTATTATAAGGAAAATGAAAAATAAAATGTAATTCAAAATTAGAATTAATAATTTTAATCTATTACTAATTACTATAAATTTTATGTATATTATTATAATAATAAAGATAGTGTTAATAATAGCATAAGTTTTTTAACTAAATAATTTTTATATATTTATTTAAAATAATATAAAATTAAAATTTCAAAATCTTTAAAAAAAAATTTGATATTAAGTAATATAATTTATTAGTTGAGTTAATATAAAGTTAAAATATTTAAGATTATATCAATTTATTTGATTTTAAAAATTAAATTATATATAATTTTAATCAAAATTTATATTTGATAAACTACCTAGAAATATTATTATAGGTAAATCTTTTAGTTAGTCTTATATAATATATAAAGTTTTAAATAAACCTTAATAAAAAATTAGTAAAATAAAAAATTTAAATATTTTAATGATTTAGATAAATAATTTTAAATAATTATATTTTTCTAATAATTTTCTTTTTTATTATAAAAATTTTATATAGTCTTTAACTTTAATATCTTAAAATTCAATAATTATAATAAATAAAATTTTATTAACATAAAATTTAAAACTTTTTTATTATTTATTTAGAATTAATTTAAACTTTTTAAATGATATTTATAATAAAATTTTTGATAAATAAAAATTTTATAATATAATAATTTTGATATATAATAAAAAATTAGTTATATAAATTTTTTATCCTATTTTTAATTAAATATATTTAAATTTTTAATATAATTATTATTATTTTATATATTCTCACCAGTTTTAAATATATTTTAATTATTTGTATAATTAAATTTAAATAAAAATAATATTAATTTAAATTCTATATTAAATATATTTATTCATAAATTATTTTTACTATATAATATTATCAAAAAGCTATTATAAATAATGATTAATTTTATTTTATAAATATTTAATAAGGTTTAATATAATAATTATATAGTCAACTCTTATTATAACGAACTCTATGTCCTAGACCTCAACTTCGCTATAAGGCTATAGTGAAGATTTTAAGAGA